AGCTTCTCAAAAACTGCACCGAATACTCCCAAATGGGGGAAATTGAAGTAAATAGAGCAAAGTATAAAGTAATTGCTCCTATACTTACTTTAAGAATTATGTGGAGTATATGCTATAATTTTTTGAAGTGAAAACTACAAAATGGAGCATTTACTTGAAGTAAAGCAAATACTCTTTTTAATCATACCGCCCATGTCAAATTAGTATAGACATTTTTTCTCTTTGTATTAATTTCAATTTAATATTTCGGTTTATTAAATTGCTTCATACTTTAAATTGTATCTTATATGTTGGTACTATCTCCAAACCAAATATAATGTCGAAAAGTTAAACGGTCAGAATTACGTGTCGTGTCATGGAACTATCTAGTGAAAATGTTACTGATAAACACTCATTTATGGGAGGTAAAGTCCGTCGATTTTAATCTGATACTCGAAAGGAATGTGAGCGGGTGGCACCCTACATTAGAACGCCAATGGTCACCTGACGTCTTACCTGTTGGTACTTCACCCCCTTGCTCCTCATACGGAGAGTGTCAGTTTAAAAACGACGGACAATAGTATCGAATGCAGTACCGGCACAGTCAGCGCAAGATGCCACCTCGAAGAAGCAAAATGACAAATCCTTATCCCTACGACGTTAGCATATCAGAAATAAGCCATATGTACTTGAAGCGTGGGAAGCACTAAAGGTAGAGATGTTATGAAATAGCTTTTTCTTGGACCTAGTATGACCTGTACCTGCTCCCATTACAAACCTATTCTAAATACCTGTTCCAGCTCCAAAGTATTTTCTGTCAAACTCAGTGATTCACATAGTCGCCGACAGGTAGCTAGCGCTATTATTAGAAGTTAGAACGTTAATAAACGTGTCTTTTATTAAATCGAATACCGATTGATGATTCGAATGCTGGCAAGTGCCACTTGCCAGCAGATTGTCAATCCAGTGTAGCAGATTCTACTATCTCATTGAATTAATATACTAGAGGTGTTTTCTGGCCTCTCAAAGTTTTAAAACATTTTTCAAAACTTGTTTAAAACAGTTACACAATGACGTCATAATTTCTCGGCGCAATTAAATGTGTTTAAAAACGTGGGTTGGTTTGTATTTCGAAACGGGTTGAACCAATTCTGATGTGACGTCATGGGTTCATCGCGAGAATATACTATTTCAAACGTGTTTCAAAAAAGTGAACGCGAGAAAACAACTTTGGTTTAGGGCAAACACGTGACGTGCCAGCCAGCGCCTGCTCTGCGAACTCGGAACAGGTAAATCGTATATGGGTAAATCTAATATTTGGTAATAGGTACACGGAACAGGCAGGTCATACCTATTCCAAAAGAACAGGTTCAGTTCCAGCGTAACATCCCTAACTAAAGGAGTATCACCAAAAATCGAGTTTATCTAGCATGGTGTTCCTATTGAAGCGAATTTGCAGGTTGACGCTAGAAGAACATGGTGATATGGAAGCGCATAAACTTATTCTTGGAATTATTTAGGTTCGCAGCAGGGATTTTACTGGGAAGTCTTCCAGACTCGTACAGTTTTTCAATTAAAGCGCTGGAAAGTAAACCATCGAATGAGTTTACGCTTGAATTCGTCAAAAGTAAATTAATTGATGAGTACAGGAGGCGTCAAGGATCTTGGAAAAGTCAAGAGGAGTTAGCCATGAAGTCAGTACATAAAAGGTGACAGAGGGAATCATGCTGGAAGCACAGACGGAAAGCAATGCTATTTTTGTAACAGGAAAGGCCATTTTAAACGGGATTGGTTCAAGCATAGGGCGTTTATGAAGAAAAGGGCCAATACAGTTACTGAAAGGAATACCGATGACATGTGCTTTATGGTAAATTTGAGTGATGTAAAACGGGATTCTGTTTCGTGGTATGTAGATTCAGAAGCAGGAGCTCGAGCAGGACCTTCGAGTCACATAAGTAATTTCAAGGAATTTTATACTCAGTTTGAGGATATCAGAAAAGGCGTTGTGAGATTAGCGGAGAAGGGGCACTCCGCTGAATAGGATTCAAGTGCGCAAATAGTGCGGTAGTGAACGAGCTAAAAATCGACGATGTGTTGTTTGTGCCGCAATTGGATTCAAATTTACTTTCTATGAAAAAACTAACAAGTGCGGGCTATAGCGTGCATTTTGACAACAATGAATGTAAAATTGCTTGACGTGAAAAAATGATAGCGACTGCAAGGCCGGCGTCCGACTTGTACATACAAGTTATCAACCGTGCAGCAAGCATAAGCGTCGTTAATGAACACTCCAATTAACTCTGTCACCTTTGTGAAGGAGTTGTGTATTCAATATTGCCCGACTAAGGACATGATAGCTGATATGTTAACCAAGCCGCTAAATAAAATAAAGTTGGAATATTTAAGTGCCAAGAGTGGCCTGCCTGACTCATTTAAATAGGTATTTATGCAACAAGTGTGTAAAGTGAACCTTTTTTCATGAATGTGAATTTTACTGTAAAATAAAGTGCTACTTTATTGTCTACCTGGACTACCTGACCACATTATAACGACTAATTATAGAAAGCTCAAATTTTCCTCTAGTAACTCTAGTAAGATTGTATAAAATAATCATGGAGGAAGTGTTATTGTGGAGTATTTGGTTGTTTTGTTTAAATGTCAAAAGAAAAAGAGAAATTAGGAAACTTTTCAATAAAACAAGACGTTCTAGGTGGTCTAGAGCATGGTTATTGAGACGAAGTTTTGTTTTCTCATGTATGGTTACTTGAAGAATTGCAAGGCGAGCCCGACAAGCGTACACGGAAAAAAATGCAATTCTATATCCAAGAGTAGTAATATACTTATAATTTTATATTTGATCCAGTAATAATTTACTTAGTAAAACAATACTTTATTATACATTGAAATATTTGCTTAATGTTATTTTGAAACTCTTTAAATATTCATCTCAATTATTTTTCTTTTAAATCAAGAATAAAAAATATATTTTATCAAATATAGGTTTGTTCTTACCGCGTGTTATCTTTCATCATGTAGAAGTACCTTATCCAATCTATTTCCCTTTTGCTTTAGGATAAGTTGTTGACAAAGTGTCTATAAAAACATTATTTTTAATTTTAGGAAATGAAATTCACTTGGACAATGGTTGAACATAAATGATGAACAAAGTAAAGAGCGAATTCCCAAAATGGAGGTTAGATTAAAATTGGCCAAGAAAATGAATCGGTACAAAAATGGCGTTAAAAGTGAAGAAAATGCAGCATCTATAACGGATTTTCCCAACCTTCCATCAGTGGTATGTGAATAATTAATAAATAAATGTACCTCTCTATGATTGTTATTGTACTTATCGCAATTAACTTTTTTGTTATTATTCCATCAGTTTATACCTTTATATATTATATAAATTTTTAAAACAAGAATTTGAAGAATAAAATATACTTCAGAGTAAACTGTGTTTCAATATTAATGGTAAGTACACGAGTAGTTAAAACAATAAGAGGTTATTTTTGAAGTAAGAATAAGAAATATTTGGAAATAAATTGTAGTTTTTGTGATAACTATAAGTAATTTTTCGAATAAGAATAACAATACTTGAACAACAAATCTACCTTATTCTTGAAACAATTACTAGGCTATTCTCGAATTCGACACTATCGTATTCTGGATATAAGTTGAACTTATTTTCAATTCTTAAGAATAGGGCAATACTAGAATTAAATATTATATTTTCTTGTGGAATAGTGAAACGAATATATTCTTGGGCAAACGCTACTATTCTTAAATATAGTGGAGTGTTTTTTCCGTGTACACACGTTACGACTTGCACACGCAAATCTCCCAAATCTATGCGTTCCGGCTCAAACTTCCAACTCCGACCTCCGACTTTGCACAGTTCTACGTTTTGTCTGTAACGATTTACTTGCGCATGTAAATCGTTGCGTGTAGACCGTGGTTTAAAGCAAGGTATGCTCGAATTTTAATTTTTTTATTCAATTTTTTCAATTTTCAATAAAAATCAGTCGCATTTGTACATAAAATCATGTATATAACGCTTATATAAACAGGCTTTATTGACTCATTATTTAAAGCCTTACTCTATGTACTTGTTATATAAATAGCTATTATTGCATGTACACCAGTTTTTAGTCAGTGTGACAATTCTATAGTAGGTCGGTTCTCACAGAAATCACAAACCAGTCAGATAGTTTTCCATTGGTGCGAATCGCCAACAAACCAGTTTTCTGACTAACCAATGAAACTTGCACTGACTGGTTTCTGATTTCTATGAGAACACACTTATAGTGACATATTATTGAGAAAAACTGCTATTAAAGAAGATCTTCTGAGGACTGGAGCCGAATTTATCGATTATTTGCCTCATTTTGTTCTTGAAAGTAAACTTTGAATAATTAAAGGCCTTTTACAGGAATCTATAGCTTCAACAATGACTTTAAAAGAATGCCATTAGCTTGTAATGCTATGTAAGATATTTCAAATACATAAAAATAAAGATCAGAAACACAAAAAAATCAAACCAAAAATCTAATTTTCTATCCACTTTGAAATAACTAGCCTAAATTTTAACCAACCCTAAATCAATGTTTTCCCTCTAATGGAATTTTCCCTTATGAGAGATGCGTATTGAAAAAAATCAGTGAAAACAAATCAACTTAGGCCGGGGTTACCCAATTCCTTAATTCTTAATTTTTGTTCTTAATTCTTAATCTTTAAAAACACCAATGTTAAATAAATTGAACTTTTTAAGAATTAAGAATTAAGGACAAATATTAAGAATTAAGGAGTTGGGTAACTCTGGCCTTACACACCAAAATTTGTTACAGTAAACTTTGCAGCTTTCCTTAAATTTGATTCCTAGAAACAACATCATCATAAAAAGTGCAAATGGGTTTTGAACTAATAAAATTCATGGGACCTTGTAGGATGATCATATAGATTGTACATCAGTGAAATGTTCGAAACTTACAAGACACTAGACTATAAAAAAAATCAAAACTTACCTTCTTATAGTCACATTACTCGGAATAGCAACAGTAATGGGTCTCTTTGGTTTCAATCCTTGATTCTGAGTGGCTTTTGCCGGAGTTCTAAGTAGGTTTTGTAAAGATACAGTGGATGATTTGGTCTGAAAAATAAGAGACAAGTTTCACATTTCAATTCTTACTAAGCAAATAATTGCACTAAGAACAAGCAAAACATAAATGTTTATCAACAAATATAAATATATCAATTTTTATCAGGCGAATGTTAACAGTATTGATAATATTGTGATTCTAGTACTAATTATTACAGTTTATTGATCATTATAAATAGAATTTGTCTTACTTTATCTTTTCTCAGTCCGCTAGGAACAGGAGGAGCTGCCCTCCTAAATTCTGCCGGTCTTCTATGGATTTCAACAACACTTTTTACATTATCTCTGGTTTTTTTTCTTGCTTCTACCCTATCGACTGTTGTAGAAGACAAAACCGTAGCAACATTATTACCATTATTATCAATATTTTTTGTCGTAGATTCTTCTTCAACTAAATCATTATTTTTCTTTGTTTTTGCTTTATCAGGCTTCTTATCTAACTCGGTTTTTTTAGGTGTAGATGTGACTTTGAGGCGTCTTAGAGAACCAAAAATGGAACCTGAAGAAGTTGGTGGTTGTTGAGGGGCAGATTGAGGAGGAGGCCGTGGATGAGGAACTCTACAAGAATTTTTTTTTTAATGATTTTTCGCATATAAGTAGGTGATCTGCATTGACTAGTTAGTTAATTATGCAACAAGGTAAAATGTATTAGTGCAAATATTCTAAAGGTCATTTATAAGTGGTATTTGTTTACCAACTTATATTACATATAATATTTGCTTGCTTCTAGTTTTGTGTGAAAAATGACAAGCAATCTTGTCATAATTTTTTAAATTTTTCCTTGAAGAAAAACATTAATATTCAAGTTTATGGCCAAAAAGCATAGAAAAGGATATTAAATGTCAACGGGTTTTTGCTTTTGACTGAAAATAGGCAAGAAACCACCAACTTATCTTCGAAAACTGCCCACGCCATAACTGGATTTGCTATAAAAATTCGTTGCAAATCTACATAAAGGCAAAACGAATAAACGCCTACACAGAAGAAAGCAACATTTATTATGTGGCTATAGAAATCTTTTGATTTATTGTGAATATGTACATAATAGGTATATTGATTATTTATTTTTATAGTACATTTAACTTTTGTCACTTCGCACTAAATGCATTTTGTGTTGAATAAATAAGATTTAAAAACAAAATAAATATACTTTGATTTGATAAAAAAATTTAACTAGGGGACACCCGGGTTTGAACCGGGGACCTCTCGATCTGCAGTCGAATGCTCTACCACTGAGCTATATCCCCTTGCCTATCAAGGTTAGCATTACTACTATACATTCAGAATGAAATAAATAATAGAACATAAAATCGTTTTATTTGTTTAAAGTATATGCTAATTATTTGTTTATTATCCGTAATAAGACATTACAAACTCGCTTTACAAAGTAGTAATGGTTTACTTGGTAAAACTAGTATTCGTTCATATGCAACCAGACTTACATTGCACCTGAACTAGCAGAGAATAGTTAGAATTTTGTATTGGGATTGGGGAGCTATTGTCCTCGCTCTTAGCGTTAACAAGACAAAAAGGGCCGGTCAATTTTAGGCCACCAGAATCAGAAATTTACCTTTTCTAAGATTTGGTTTTTGTCTTTGAACACTTAAAATATCTGACCGTATTAAAGTTCACGTACCAGTTCACCACCAGTTAAATATTTACAGAAAGATTTTTCTTGTTGCATTTTTGTATTAAATTAAGTTCAATTTTTCACCTGTTAGCATTTAGTGGATGCGGCCTCCTGCTTCTCTCTGACTTTGGCGCTTTGTCTTTCTGAAAAATAACAAGATAACGTTGAATCATCAAAATGAACACAGTTGAAATTTTCTAAAGTTCACACCTTATTTGGCAGTAAGCTATCCAATAATCCCATGTTTGAAAATGTATTTAAATTTCCATAAATTCACCATAAACATGAAGTAGTTCAAAAATCAAGTAAATCAAGAAATTATCATTATAAACATCAACGAAAACCCACAAAGAAGTCATGAGACTGGCATAAGTTTTGTCAAGTAAACCTTATCTCTTATCAGGATATAAATAATAGTAATAAACCTGTAAAGGAACTTGATTATAAAGTTATGTGTTTAGAGAGTATATCAGTGTATTTATTGTGAGTCATTGTTTGAATTGAAAAATAGATAATACCCATATGCTCCATTAAATTTCCTTTAAAAAAAATACATGTAAAAAAATTCCTTGTGAGGCTAAAATCTTGACAGCCTGGTGGCCAATTGATGACTGGTGAATGCGCCAAATGCCTCAAGAATGCGCCAAATGCCTCATTTATGACACGTTGGCGAATGCGATATAAACTTTTTTAAGAGGTTCCTGAAATTTTGGTTCTGACATTGGTTCTGACACAAGCTTAATACTAAAACTATCCCGTTTACTAGGTACATACATACAGGGTGTTCACGAACATCGAAACGGAGGCCTTTTAGGGTATTTTAAGGTCGATATAAAAAAAACGCTTGGACATGTCATTTTTGTATTCAAGGGGGAAACTTTTTGACCCCATCGGTATTTCGCTAGGGTGCAGCCCCTAATTCCACCCACCCCTCTTTTTTAGATAGGGTGCTCGGTATTTTGATTCTCGTCACAACTGCGTACTTTTTTTTGAAAATCGAATGGTTAGTTCTCAAGATATTCACTGTCAAAGTTGCCATGGGTTAGATAAGCAACAATCTTCTGGCCTTGTTATTCTCAAATTAGCCTTTTCCTGACTTTTCTCTCGGACACGTCAATTTCAATTTTTCGTGTGCTTCTGAGAAAATTGAAATTAACGTATCCGAGAGAGAAGTCAGGAAAGTGTTAATTTGAGAATAACAGGGTCAGAAAATTGTTTCTCATTTAGCCCATGGCAACTTTGACAGTGAATATCTCGAGAACTAATTATTCCATTTTCGAAAAAAATATGCAGTTGTGACCAGAATCAAAATACCTTTGAAACAAAGTACCACTTGAACCATCTTCCCTATCTAAAAAAGAGGGGCGAAACTCACCCCTTCCGTGAAAGTCACCCCTCCCAGGGGGTGTACCCTAGTGTAATACCGATGGGTTCAAAAACTTTCCCCCTTGAATACAGAATTGACGAGTCCAAACGTTTTTTTTTTTAAAGCGACCTTAAAATACCCGAAAACGCCTCTGTTTCGATGTTCGTGAAACACCCTGTATATAAATAAATGGAAACTCATTTATTTAAAAAAAATCTGGTCACTTATTCAAGATGGTGGAAACGTAAACCACTAGAAATAAGTTGAAGTTCTCCATAACATGGTTGAAGGAGGTGTGACCCAAAAATTAAAATTTTAATGCAAAAAAATCTAAGAATAATTATTTTAACCGCATTTTTGTTACAATGAACCGTTTTCGAGTTAGGGCGGTTTGAAGTGACAAACGCCTCGGTTGTGACATCAGACCGGCTTCGGAGGTACAATTAATACATGTAAAATTTTCCGAAACAAAAGTCAACTCAGAGCGAATTGCAACCAATTAAAGTATAAGGCATGGTTCACTGATGACTGAACAACAGAAGGCTGCGATTTCGGCGGTTAGCCGGTGTGACGTCACAAGTTCCCGCATAATTTATCTTCATGAGGGATTATCTCGGAAACTGTTTTAAATATAGGACTGCGGTTTTCACGAGAGATCTTAGATTTTTTTTTTCTTCATTCAAGTACCTAGCTAAGTTGTTTTTTTGGGCCATACTCCCTCTAAGGTCTTTAGAAGTTTTAGACAAAACTTAGCAGTAAAACTAACTGTCGCTTTCTCAAAACAAAAACCATAAGCCCATTAGGAGATTTACTAGGGGTTTGAGGACCATTGTAACAAGCTGGCACTATACGCAATATAAGAAAACTCAAATTAAACTAACGACATATGGGTCATTCAAGATTCTATTTATATTATGTTAGGAGTGTCTTGAACTCCGGACAACGGTACATGAGACTTTTTACAGTTTTTATTCTTTCCTAGTTCCACAGAACACTTGCAAAGTTGAGCACAAATTCGCTCGCATGGTGCATCGCGGATATGTTCTATTAATACCACTAATAATACAGCCGGCATTTAACCAATAATTATTATATGAAAACGGGCGCTCTTCGAGCCCTGATAACCATCTTGGCGAACCATAATGGAGAACGGTTTATCCGTTGGATAGCGGGAAAATTCCATCTTAAACTTTTCCTACAATATATATTTTTTTTCAGAATAAATAGCATTAGTCCAGGGATAAAAATTAAGGGGAAACCTTAAGGAACTCAATTCAATTCAATTCAATAAAGCTTTATTGTCCTAATTCTTAGCAAAATCATTGACAAAGCAAAAGGTACAAAGTAAGTCTTAAAAACTATACATAAAAGGCAGGTAATAAAATTTCACAAAAAGTTCCGTCAAAAAAAATAACAATAAAAATCTAGGTAAGTGCTTCAAGCAGCGTGACACTAGTCATGGAAGAAGTTTTCACAAAACTGTTTACTAGGTATATCATAAGTATTATTGAAAACGGTTAAAAGATTTACGCTGTAAACAACATGTCAATATAGGCAAAAACCAAGACACCACATTAGATAATCAATCTAAGATTAAAATAACGAACAAATTCGAAATAACAAACAACAAATTCAAAATAGGAAATCACACAAGCAAAATAAAAAAAAAATAAAAAAATACAATAAAATAAAATAAAATAAATAAAAGAAATAAAAACTTTAAAATATAGTAACATAATCCGTCTTATAAAACTCTAAAATAATATAATAGCTACAATAAATCTTGCAAGGAATCATAAACAAAACACTGCCATTCATGAAACTCTCCCAGGCTATAATAAGCTTTTTCAATTAGAAATGCTTTAAGTTTTTTTCGAAAGAGTTTGTACTGTTCAATGTTTTTTAGTTCCCTTGGCAGATGATTAAAAATTTGATTCCCTCATAAACTATTGAGTGTTTCACCAATGCAGATTTCGGGATTGGTAGGGGTGAATTGCTGTTGTTTCTTAAACTATAGCTCTCAACCCTATCAATGTTCTGAAACTTCTTGAATCAAGCAGGCCGTCTCCAAAATGAAAATTGATGGGCACTGTCAAGATCCGTTCCCGAACAAAGAGGAGTTTGCAGGTTTGTTGGTATGCTGCATTGCATAAAGTTCTGAGGGCTCTTTTCTCTAAGATAAACACTGACTAAATGGGTGTTTGAGTTGAGAATCCCCAGAATGCGATTTCATAATATCTAACATGTGACTCCATCAAGGCCTCGATCAAGGCGTAATATGCAGTTTTGGCGGTGTGTTTTCCGAGCTCTTGCAAGATTTTTTCAACCATGTAGCATCCCTGTGATAGTTTTCTATTGGGCATATCGATACGTGTTTCAAATCTTAACCTCGAATCTACGTGCATCCCAAGAAACCTTACAACATTTTTTTCCCTAATAGTGTGTCCATCAAGAGTGTCACCGTCCAATGAACATTTTTAAGCATTAAAATATTCTTTTCTCTAAGATAAACACTGACTAAACGGATTTCTGAATTGAGAATCCCCAGAATGCGATTCCATAATATCTAACATGTGAATCCATGAAGGCCTCGATCAAGGCGTAATATGCAGTTTTGGCGGTGTGTTTTCCGAGCTCTTGCAAGATGCTTTCAACCATGTAGCATCCCTGTGATGGTTTTCTATTGAGCATATCGATACATGTTTCAAATCTTAACCTCGAATCGACACCGTCCAATGAACATTTTTAAACATTAAAATATTAGTTTTCGAGACATTAAACACTAGAAGGTTTGCATCGCACCGGTCCTTTATTAATGCCAAATCACGCTCTATAATGGTTGAAAGAACCTGCGAATCCTTATGTCCCCAGAGAATGGTCGTATCATCTGCAAACATCACAAAAACTCCCAATATTGACAGCGAGGCGAGGTCGTTTATGTACAGTAGAAAGAGCACTGGACCGAGCACTGAACCCTGTGGTACTCCTCGAGTTACATTCAGAATTTCGGAGTCGTCCCTGTTAGGTATTCTTACAAATTGCCTTCTTCCCGATAGATACAATTTAAACCAGTTCAGCTCCTTTCCCCGGACGCCAAAATGACTCAACTTCCGCAGCAGTATTTCGTGACTTACGCAATCAAATGGCTCTGAGAAGTCACAAAACACTGCCGCAGCCCTGTCGCCATCATTCAAGCTAAAGAAAAGCTTTTCGAGTAGAGAAAATACTGCTTCGTTTGAGCCCTTGCTTTCCTGAAATCCGAACTGATTTGATGACAGAATGTTGTTATCATTTAAGTAGTTAACAAGCTTTTTTCAGGATTTTCTCTTTTATTTTTGGAAAGGTAGTCAGTAGAGAAATAGGGCAATAGGCAGAAGGGCCTTGATCATCTTCCCCTTTGTAAATTGGGAGGATTACTGCCAATTTAAGGCAATCTGGAAATTCACCCCCATCAAAGAAGTTGTTTTTGCTGTTCACAAGGGCAGCCAAAGCATCATCTGGTAGATTTTCAAGTATTTTCAGCGACATATTATCCACGCCCGATGAGTTCTGTTTCTTAATTTCTCTCATAACCATTCCTAGTTCTTCTTCATCAAGGGATCAATTGGTGCTAAAAAACTCAATGAATCCTTGGAAGGTCTTAAACCGTCGGTGAGTTTTTCAGCAATAGAGCAATAAAAGCGATTTAGTTCCAATGGATCAATATTTATCTCCTTTGCCAATTTTGGTTGTTTGCCTCTAATTTCACCTCCTATGATCTTCCAGTACTCTCGACTG